GCATGTGATCCTATCTCACCGAACGTTCGAAATCTCGAGATTGGGCATGCCTTTTCTACATCCAGTCATACATACCATTGCATTGGCTGCGTCAAGCTTCCATGAAAGCTGCAGCGCACTCCTCCATACGATCGATATCAATCGCTTTGTCACCTCTTAATTCATCAGACAAACCGGGCCCTCGTGGGGCATTTTGGGAACTCGGACTCCTGTTATCCTCTTCTCTCTCGCCTCTTGTACCTGTAACAATCCGAGCCCTTTGAAAGAGTCCACATATTGATACGTACCCAACCTCCCAAAGAGGGCACATCTATCTGCTCTTGGCCGCTCCTTGTCATCCGCTGGTGCTCACTCCACTGGCTCGCACGCCAGCACCATCACTGTTAGTACTACTACTACTACTCATTAACTTAACATCTTAAAGGCTCGTTGGTTTCTCTTCGTTATCTCTCGCACAAACACACTAATCTCGCGATCGGGGACCACCAAGTTCGGAGGGACCACAGCAACACTTGTAAGGTCGCAACATCCTCTAGTTTTTAATGTGTTTGTTTGGTTTGCGCAAGGTTGAGTACCACACGACCGCTGGATTGCAGATCTTAACTGCTGGGGTGACTCTTCCCCTGATCTCGGGCCCAGCCCATACACGACCATCTTCTTTGGAAAATCTCCGGGTTCGAACGACGCGCTTGATCCACGCATCGTACATGCTTTGATTCAACTACAAGTGACTCTTTTAGCTGACACAAAAGCGGAGGTAGTTGGGTGTTGCAAAACCTGCCAAGAGAGAAAGAGGACGATGCGAAGAGCATAGTGTACAATTTTGTTCGCATTCATTAAAAGAAGAACATGCCAACTAACCATTTACAAGCAGATGACGATGCATATGCACCAGGATATGTTTCTTCGCCTTCCCTCCTTCCGAGATGCCTTTTCTCCTGCTCCTGCTCCTCCTCCAGACCAGAGCCAGATCGAGCGAATTAGTCTACCGAGCTTCACTGCAGGGCATCTTTCTTCGTCAAGTGTCACGAACCGAGTTGCTGCTGCTGCTCAATCTTGGTCCCGATCTTAACACTGCATCAGCATCTGCATCTTATGCTGGATAATTCCCTACCGCTCGAGCCATAATTTGTCCTCATCAATCGAGTTAATGATCTCCGTAGCACCTACCGAGCCTGAGCCGTAAGGCATACAATTCCTCCCTTTGTCCTAATGACTCTTTATACAGCGGTCCGGGTTAGTTAACAACCATCCCAGTTGACTCGTATCCCAGCCTTGTCTTACCTCATACGAAAACTTGTTTGCGATGGTTGTGCTCGCCCGCCCGCCCGCCCGCCACCAGGCAAGTCTGAGCCTCATCCTCCTCGCCACAAACGCTACCGCGTTACTGGGCATCTCCTGGTCTCGCGACGAACTTGTCGTAGGATTCCATAATTAGATTGGGCAGGGCTTCTGCTAACAACGGCCTAATGGATGGCAATCAGATTAGCGGAATGATCGGACATCCTCCTTGATGAGCGATAGTCGCAAGGCATGCGAGGCAAGGATCTCCGATCGCGCGCACTTTGACGTGAACCCATCAGACAGAGCAGACGTTTGGGCCATATTTTGCATGGACAGTTGATTTGTCTTTTGGTGAGGTCCTAGCGAAAAGGCTTACGAGTGGATCCACTTCCCCAACTCCAAATGCATATTTTTAGCGTTGGAGAGTGATACTGACTAGTATCACCAAAGTGATGGAAGGACCTGATCAAGTGTAACTAATATGCGCCAGAGTCCGAGTTCCGATTCATATCATGCTAATAGGAACGCGAAGGAACATGTAGCATTTATGAAATGTACTAGTTCATAGGCGTACATACTACAATATCATCTGAAATAACTCATAATTTCAAATACTTGCTTACTCGTATATTGCATTACCTTTTGGGCTATAAGAAAAAGTGAACATTATTCTATTACAAGTAAAATACACAACATATTTCAGAAGGGGAGGGGCTACTTATCCCTTAGGGCTAATTAACCCTAGTATACGATCATCTCATCGGTGGAACACCTTGTAGTTGATACTGCATCTACTACTACCCTGCATCGACCAATAAGAAAACTGCGTATACTAGAGTGAGGGATAACTACACGCTCAGTTCACAAGTAAAATTATTGCAAAATATATCAAAAGGTATAGGAGAAAATATCATACCTATTCATATGCTTGGGGCCTTAAAAACTATTTCTCCACAAGTTCTCCTTGGAGAGCACAGAAAATTATTTGTCTAAAAGTTTGTTAATTGAATGATATGTAAACACAACATCCACAACACTAAGTTGGTCTTCCGAAATCTTGGCGTGAAAAATACATATCTATATTATATCAAGATATAATATAGATATGTAGCCCAATATATTGATATAGAGGAAAAAGACGTGAAATTCTATAATTTCTTCAAGGACAAAGCATCTATATAAAGGATCTAGGATTACATTGTATGTGTATATCCTATCTACTAACATAATGTACATTAGAAAAAAACCCTGTATGTAATCAAGATCAAGGGATAACAAAGGTGTAGTGAGAGTTCAATTGTCCAAGAGAATAACAGATGTCTCCTCCTCCGTGCATTACAAGCCTTTTACTTCACCTATTAAGTGCATGTTGATGTGCCAGATTGCCTATCACTCGCTTGAATTGTCTTGGCCCAAAGGTATTATCAAGGATTATCATGATCATCATTTCAAAAAATCCCAATCGCAAGAGGAGTGTAGTAGGATGAGGTTCAGTGCAAAGTATATAGGTAACTAGGAAAGTTTTTGCACTTCAAGAATATTTACACTGTCTGTGTATCTCGTCTTGTAGTTGTAGGTGAAGAATGCTCAGAGAAGATCATGCAAAATATTTCAAGAAATTTTCTCCCAAATTTAAAGGTAATCCAATATACGTAGAACCGTGTTTATGGCATGGTTCCCAAAGTCTATCATCGCCTACAGAATGTAACCCACAACCTCGAGAGTCAAGAATAGTAAGAGAGCTATGTAATGAGTAATGTCAAATAGTGGTCTACGCTAAGTATATATATAGTTAAGCAAATGTTTTCTGTCAAGTAATGTAGGGAGCCATGGTAGTTGAAGGTAATGATGAAATTCTAGGAACAAAACCTAGCAAATTCAGTCTCTATCCAAACCTCATCTGAAATTTCCTCCCACAGTCTAAAATTTCTCACAAAGTCAGCAGATCTGGTGCCCACCAGCGGCTCACTGAATCTTCTTTCAAATCTTGATTGCTATGTTTGCCTTGTAAGAAACAAGCATGTTCCAACGACGATCAAGAGGATCAGCTAATAATAACATAAGTCCGAGCATGTTAATAATTAAATAACTCTTACTATAATAAGTTAGTGATGGTGATTGCCCATGACATCGAGATTTGCAGGGGTCGCCTTCGCATATACGGATTCGATTCGCTGGGAGTGGATGTGCGTGGCGAGACACCTCCAAGAGCAAGAGCACATCTCGCGCATCCATCTGTGGTTGTTTCTGTGTGGAATGTAGCGAGTTGACACGCGCACATCGTACTTCTACAACCTCGGAGAACTATGCCCCCTTATACCCTTACTGGTTCTAGCGTTGGACTTGGCGACTTGGTGTCGTGTTTGCGTATGTGAACCTCCCACTCGCTCTGCTCGGGTATCTCGGCATTTTTATATTGTCTACTCCCTTATTCCGGCCCAGCTTAGCATCTGCTGCTCTTTACCCAGGGAGGCCACTTAGTGGTCAGAATCCATAACCATGTACAGCCAGTAGCCACTGTAAGATTACTCGTCAGGGAAATTGGTATGATGACCCAGAGGAGGTTCTCGACATACAAGATCGTGATCCACACAAATTCCGATCGTAATACACGACTGATTAGAAAATTCCAGTTCATCCCAGGTTCTAAGCAGGTCTTCTGAATTCGCAGAAATAATCTTCCTGCATACGAAACCCCGATCTCGTACACACATTGCAAACAGTGAAAGTACTTTATTCTGTTCATAAACTACTTTTTAAAAATATCACTTTGTGCTGCACACCAACTTCTCTCTATTGTGTCACACACGACTCATGAAGTAGATTCAGGTGTGGAGTTTGGAGTTGGAGAGTGCCCGAAGTCGCCCCACCAGATCAGTGAGGCCTGTCAATGGTGGGACCTGCCAGAACTATTTCTAAGAGCACGTCCATCAGGGTCTCCACAACACTGGGCCGAGAATCCATTGGAACTCCTCCAAATCAAGGCTCGGACTTGGAGAAGGGGGCGACCTCTTCTACTTCATGCGTTGTTTGCTCTTGAGGCCGGGATGATCCAGCAATGATGAGATTCATAAGCAAAAACTGTTTAGAGACGTCTCCTGAACACTGTCCGTTGATACTCACCATTATAATATTCCCTTCATTCTTAGAAAAGGCGAAAAGGTTCACATCTACAGCACTCCTGAGGTTTACGAACTAAAATAAACGAATTTAGTCAATGGCAGCATTTTGCAGTACTCAACGCCCTGTTGCTGTTCATTTATCTTAGCTTCGCACTCAGCGTTTGCACTTATTATGACGAGAGGGTAAGAATTTGTATCCTGATCCATGGATGATATGGATCAATTCTATGGACATGTACAGGGCTAACGAATCTGAGTGCAAAAGATGCAGTGGCGAGGACCGACCCCTTCACAACACATCGTCTGTACGTGCTGGTCGATGGTTGGTATGTATGTGTGCACATACACATGCATGTATGTACACAGCCCAATCCATACAGTTTCTTCGTCAAGCTGCAAATCTCTACCAGATCTGCGCCATATTTACCTTGCCAAGGACAGGACAGTGCTCGGTGCGCCATCCGATGCCAGCAGTAAGGCTCAGCTGAGCTCTGAGGGGACCCTCGGCCTCCCCGCTTTCCTTAACAACGAGGAGATTCAGGCCATCGAGTCAATTCTGACCGCATCGAGTCAATTAAGCGGTCCAGACGATGTCTCGCTTTTCCTTCGCAAGGGCAGGACCAGGAGAGTTGACCAGAGAAGCACTACTCGATCCTGTCGGTCCCTCGCAAGGGTGAGACCGTAGGGGCAGCGGGCTGATCGAGTCACAGGATGACGGGCGTCTGCTCTTCTAAGAGTGCTCACAGTGCGGGAGGTGGGGAGCGAAGGGCAAAGGGGGGGAGGGCAGGGCAGGGCTAGGCCCTGGGACTGGAGCAGAACGAAGCGAGAGGCGAGGCGAGACGAGTCTCCCCGTCTTGCCTTGTAAGCAGTGTGTAATGCGGTGGGGCAGGCCTACCTCCTGGGAATCTTGATCAGGCCTGGCCACGGGAGGGAGCTCGCGAGTGAGCATGACAAATGTTGAGGAGGAGGTGCAGCTGGATCGAGCAGTGCAGGACGGGGGAGGGCGTCCGGATGCAGGACCGGCAGCAGCGAGCAGCAGTTCAGATTTGCTCTGAGGCGTTCCTTCCCTCTGGAGAAGTGAAGTGGCGGGGTATGGCATGGCCTCCATGTCTGGACCAGGCAGCAGCAACGAGTAGAGTCGGTTCTCCGTAGGCAGTCCAGCGAGCCTGCGTAGTAGTAGTGGAGTGGTCCGCCCAGCTTCGCCGCCCTCCCGCGCCGCACCTCGATCTCGCCTCGCGTCCTCATCTTGGATGAGCACGTAGGAGTAGTAATGAAATTCGCAGCCAGCTGCTATCAATGAGATATGCTAGTACCTCTGATCCTGGCAGTGTCGCGTAATCCCTTGGCTAGGCTCGGCTGCGGGGACGTCAGAAACGCCGGCCTAACTCGCGCTCGACACCTCAAGGTCGATGCTGGTGTAAGAGCCCCTCGATTTGCAACTTCAGATAATGTATAGACCAGATCCCGCCTTCACGACTCTCCTGTTATCCCCGAGCGAGAAGTCTTCGGGATTCACTGACGAGAACCAGGAGATGCCGCAAACTCCCTCTCTAAAAGGCCTTCCACTGACAGGATCCATAAACGGATGGATGGATGGACGGATGGATGGATGATCGTCGCGATTTGCGAGCGTAATAACTGACGGCTCTCGTCCTAATCGCAGCTGCCGCTGCGTTTCTCGCGAACGAACGGACGATGGCATTGCCAGACGGGTGATTCTGACCGTTTTAGTGGTCTGAAGAACCATGTTTAGTTGAGGGGGATCGGGCGTCAGTCAGTCAATGCGGAAAGACAAGAGTGGCGCGAGGGGCGAGCCGGCGACGAGCTACGTGCTCGGTTCCCACGAGAAGGGTCGATCTTTACCCACGCGCAGACGCCCTGCGGTCGATCGTCCTCGGGACGTCGGGAGCGGTCTTTCATCGGCGCAGCTGCTCATGCATGTCACCATCCAATTTATCGGCGCACTCGTTGCAGCCCCGAGGGAAAGAAAACATACGGAAATAGGAAAGGAGGATGCAGGGATGCATCGGATCTGACGTTTGGTTTATCCAAGACGAGAAAGCGCGAGCCATTACTACCAGCGAAGTTTCTGGAGGGGGAACCAAAAGAGAATGAGAAAGTTGGAGCCGTCGTGGTGCACTGGCTGTTGATGGTCGATCGAGAGCCCTGCTGATGCCCAAAGGGGCTGTGGAAAGGTACAGACGGAACGCAGGAGGGGAAAACGTACGGTAAAATGGTAAAGGGGAAGAATTTTGTTTGCTGTCATTGGAACGCGACCAACCATGATTGAGGCTCCTAGACCATTGAAATAGAATCTGCGTCACGGTCACGTGGGCACTTCTTTTTTTCGGCAGAAGGTGTTCGATCTCGTAATGACATTAGACAAAATTTTGTTAATTAATCTGCTCCGGATGGACCTTATCCGCCCTCCCGATTGTGACGAGACCTTCCCACCCTATTGTCACCGCCAGCCAATAAATGTCGTGGATATTTCTCCCCACATGTACGACGCTGCCCAGTCCAACTCTTCCCCGACCCCCGGGAATGGCGGCAAGCTTTCAACCTTCGATAACCTGCATGTGGTCTGGGATCGGCACTGCTCGCAGTCGCAGACGAGCAGCGCGTTCATGTTTTCGACGAGATACATGGCTCCGTCGAATTTACGCGCAGCAGAACTAAACTCGGCTAACGCAGTGCATGTTTACCACCTGAACCAAGGCCCAGCAGCAGTAATGAAACTCCATCATCAAGCACACATCTCGAGGTGCTTCTTTGTCTTACGCCGATCTTGGACTCGCACGGTCGATCGACAAGTCAGACAAAATCGCCCCTGCCACCGGAAACCCGCGAGGCCAAGAGATTACGGTTAGATGCATGCGTCGAGACTGCAGCGCGAATCTCATCTCATCATCGACATTTTACCGCAACTCACGCGGCCAATCAGCGGTCTTGGAAAGATATAATTTTACGTCGAGACTCCGCTGTCCGTTCTGCGCGCAGACAGTTTCCCCAAGACTTCCAACACCCCGCCACTGTCAGCCCGTCGTCACTCCCCGCTCTTGCCAGGATCTCCCCACCCCCACCCTCACCCCCCACAGGTCTCGGTAAGATCTTACTCCAGAGTCCTGACTTCGGAGTCGCCCTCACTCCGGCGCTGCTAGACCTCACCTCACTTCACCTCCCTCCCTCCCTCCATTGCTGCACTTCTCCTTTCACTTCAGCATCGTCTTCTCCTTCGAGCCTGAAGATGGCAGCCGGGTGCATGGACCAGCGATCCAGGTGTAGCGCGGGCTGATACACTGTCCAGCGCGTGTGGACGGTAGTGTCTGAAGCGCTTCAACGATTGCCATGATCCTTGATTCCTTGCAGGCGGCGAGAACTAATTCGGGGCCTGCGCCACTCAATTTATTAAGGCAGGCAGCCAAAACCCAGGACCTTTGGGAGTCCGTTGCGCAGGCTCCAAACTGCGGAGACTGACAATGGCGCAAGCGACTATCCTATTCCTCGACGTACGAGTGGCAAATATTCTCAGGCTGCGAGCGCGGCCTTTACCGGAAAGTCGTGCGCAGACATCTGCTCGGGATACACACTCCTCACACATGCAGGCCGAGTGAAACCTAGAAAAGAAAAATTCCTCGATGAGGGAAAGCTCATCGTCTGCCCCCCGGGAAATGTACACGGGGGATTGGAGTATTTCACAGTCTGCAAGGTGAGACTAATATGCACCAAAAACATTCACGATGTCCATTCCTCAATATCTGCAAGTTTCCATACACGGATTTTACAAAGTGTACGAGAATGGTTATCATACAGATGCGAACTGGCACTAGAAAGAACATCGTTCCTGAAGTTTCAGATTTGTTTTCATGTTTCCATACGGAAGGTATTGCAAAAACTGAAAATGCACTTTTTATTTCAACTGATTCAGAGGTAAAGTTCTCCACTAGCTGCCGAGTCAATACATTTGTATAGGCAATGCCATGGATGAAAGCCATGTATGTGCCCACGAAGGCTTTCATAGCCAGGCTCAGCAGTACTGCCTTTTGCGTGTAAAGTCTACGGAACCCGTCGATGGGAGAGTAGGTCAGATGGATCATGGAACAATCCGAAACCGGAGGCCTCTAAATCTCGGACTCGCAGCAGGATGCTCGGCTGTGAACTCTCGAGAGGTCCTGCCAGTCGCGGCGCAGGGTGTCCATGTGACCGCTAATTTGCTGACTTTGGCGCGCCTGCATACCGCATTACCAAATGTCCGATCCCCCGCTTCGTCGTCCGTCTTTCGACGATCGGCGTAACTCTGCGAGTTTGGAGTGAACGAGTCAGATTCCAATGTTTATCTTTCTGCGAAGTCATTCAGAGGCTGAAACCGCTGGGTATCCTGGCCCGTGCACTGCTCAAATCTCTTGAGAGTACACATCCGCAATCCATGTAATGATATTGAGCAGACTCTGCGAAAGCTTTCAAAGCACTTCACTCCCTGCTTTCACTGTATGAGAATCTTCAGTCTCCCACATTGTAGTAAAGGCAAAGTCGGACAAATACGATCGTACCGAGCCGTACCAATCGTTGGTATCTACGTATTGAGATCCTCTTCGCTCTCCGATCTCGTTAGCTTGTGTAACCTTGTAACAATCATTTTATCCTTTTCTCTGCGAACCGTACCTCCTCGCTCGTAGCTTTCCGTGATCTGCTCTGTCCCTCGATGTGTGGTATCGCAACAGAGAATTAGAGAATGCAGGAAACTATCGTCGGTGCAGATGGATGGCCTGGCTTTACAGCGGTTGTGTGCACTCTATTCTAAGAAAACTTCAAGAGAAAACCGTATAACAGAAATTCGTGACCCTGCGAGTGATGGTCAAAGTCACATTACACTTTCTAGAAGCGGGAAAAAGATTGCAGATAATGATGCTCCACAGAGAATGCAGAAAACGATTGCAGTGCAGGTGGATCGCTTGGCTTTACACCAGGCTGCGCATTCTATTCTGAGGAAAACTTCGAGGAAAAACCGTATAACAGAAAATCGTGAGCCTGTTGCTGATGGTCAAAGTCACTTTACACTTTCTCCGAGCATAAATTGCAGATAATAATGCTCCACTTGCAGATTCGGCAGAGATAAGCGTGAACTTTTCAGGGAGTCGACCATTCTCTTGTCAGCTGTAACAATGCATAAAGTATGGGAGCTTGGACTCTTGAAAATGCAGACTATGTTTGACCAGTCTTCTCGCGTCCGATCCAGTCTCCTTCCGCCGTGCTACGACGTGTCCTCGACATTGATCACAAGGTTTTTTAAAGAAACCGACATGTTTGATCCTCAAGAGCGGATCTATGAGCGTACCGTGTTAGAATTTCCCAACTGCTTATCCCATAAACTCCGGCGATGAAATGGAGCGTACCTCTCGATTTTTTGAAGGAAAATGGCGTCCGATACGTCACATTTGACTCTTTGGTGATTGAATTGCATTGTCAAATCCCACAGAAGATACAGCTTGAGGAGGAGTTTTATGAGAGAGAATAACGTACATTTGATTGGGACCTTGGTTTCGATATGAGAAACTGCTGGAGTGAAAAGGACACAGCGGAGCGACGCAACGGAGTCACTCCTCACGGTGAACCCTTCTCTCTCAAATAATTGACTCCCGGTACTTAAACATTATGATTGTGTGCTCGGTAAGATTCTCTGGAACTGACACCATCACAACTCTGTTGTGCTTGCTGAGCTAAGTGACAACGACATTCCCAGCGTCACTGCGGAGACACCACAGAGCATCACTTGACCGAACTATATTTACTCTCTCTACATGTACAGCACTTCGCACGTTCTTTTGGTGACAACATCAGGATCATCGTGTGGTGACTTGGCGAGTGCGAGATAGGCCTCGAAATTCCCTGAGCGGCAAGCCACTGACCTCGACAATGCTTTTGTTAAGGACGAGGGCTAAGGACCAGTTGAGCTGTCAAACAGAAATTTGTGCCATTTCGATTCTTTTCAGAATCTTGTGTCAAGCAACGTGTACAACATTCTTCTATCTGGCTGACACCTCTTGTATTCAAATATTGTCTATCTCTCCACCATCTGTCAGGTCTTTGGAAGATTAGTCTAATTGAAGGTTGTACATAGTAAAAGCTGCTACTGTGCATGACTGTTGTGGAATATAAGCAGTGGTCTATCGGTTTTCGGATGATACTACGTGTGCATTTTCCGAAACAGTACTGAGAATTTTGAATAACCTTCGTTGCTTTCCAGTCCTGATGAGCTGAATATGTTACCTTATCCTCCGAATCCAGAGATCGCGTACAGAACGTACTTACACGAGTCCCTGACAGGAGCGAAGACGAGCATGCTTGACTTCGTGTCGTCGCTTTTCGCTGAACTCCGTCTTGATAAACATGGACCGGTCTCAAATTATTTAGCCTCCTTATTGAAGATGCTCCATCACCTCCGAGTACAGCCTTTTCACACGGCCCTCTGTCATAACTCTCCTCCAAAATGCTGCTCCTTTTTGCTCAAACCCTTCTATCAATGCGTGTTATGCTGACGAGGTTTGCGCGCCAGGGTTGGATTTTGACACATCATCAGGGCTTCAAGAATAGAGTCGGAGGGTTGTTGGCATTGCGGCTGTTTACTTCAAAGATTTCCTTTTATTTTATCTCCGTACTCACACCTCTGTTTCCATGAACTTTGGAGCAGATAGCTCTCACTGTTTGATCCTAGTGGATCGGTAGATTCAGCTCACACGGTTTGTATTGATAATGTAAATGATCTTGGGCTCGCTGAATTTGATCAAGTCTGTGTCATTCTCAATTTATTAAGTTTTCAAGCCTCTTGAATTGGTCAGTCAGTCTCATACTTTGCCCTCCCCTCGGACTGATAAGTCTTGTTTTGAAATCTTCTTTGTTCACTTTCAGGAAAACCACTCTTTTCGTCAATCATTGCAACCTGAACCAAGTTCTATAGCTTGACCAAATCCTGGTGTTTGACAAATATGCTCATGTTGTAGACCTTTTTTCCTACACAATTGGGATATTTTAGATTCTGAAGAACACGATTATCATTTTGATGCCATTGGGACTAAACCCTGGTTTCATCGTTGTACTGTTTAACGATGAGTTAATTCCATTAATTCTTTTTATATATATTGTTAGACCACCATTGTTACTTGACAGACAGTTCTGATTAATTTACTGAAGGAATTTTGCAAGAGTGGAACATGTATACTTCTAACGTGACTTACACGGCAATAAAGCGAAACTGCTAGTACAGAAGGTGGAGTACTAAAGATTTAAGTAATCTGTAACTTTTATAGAACGGTTGTTCTGGCAGCTGTGGGTTCAGTATTATTGGCAGGAGAGATGGAACACAGCTGGAGAGTTTGGCAACATATTGCGTATCGATCGAGATTTAGTATATACCCTGTTTGAGGTGTATGTTTTGTAACCAGTTTTATATTAGTTGAGTTTTTCTCATCCAGTGTTCATCGTTAGAGATTTAAGTTGAATGAAGGCGTTTTTCTCATGTATTCATAATTGACAGAGTGTGTACAATTTTGACAAAGTGTCCAATTTTCGGTCGTTTCATACATTAACGTTTTTGCAATTTTCGTTTACATTTTCCGTCTACTGTTTGAGTAGAGGTAAATATTAATTTTCATTCTCTGCATTACATACTGTTTTGATCAGAAATAGCTACTTTTTTCTTCATATTTATTCTCCTTTCTACCTTCCCTTCCCTTGGCAGTTATGGTATTTCGCGCACTGATAAAATAGAAAATTTTTAATTCTAATAAATTAGGGTTCTCTTTGTGTTTGGTACTACATCCCCAATCGGTTCACAAATACCGGTTCAATCTCATCAGATGTTTTGGCCAACGTACAGTATTAGCGCGCGCTAACATTGAGATTTCTTACAATGACCATACTCCATACAGCCTTCACAGATACGCGGCAGTCCTTCAGAAGCATTGAGTCACGACTTGCACAACTTGCCGTCGAGGCTGGATCCGAATCAGGCAAGACTTTGATTCATGTTTGATATACACCATACAGGGTAGAGAAATTAAATTTGAAGATACACCTCACTTAAGAGACTTTACAGCGCTATGGCACAGATCGATTGCAACAACTAACTATTTCACAAACTTCTGAAAAATACACTTTCCACATCTCAACGAAGTCGACAGTGCATTTCTTGTCTACAAATTGATTGAACAAATACATTGCTTTCTTAGAAGGTGGGGTCGTATCCGTTGCTGGCGGTGGCGAGGATGAAGAAGCCAACAGCGTGACCGAGAGCTCCCCAGGCCAACAAGTCGACGATGGTGAATCCAGCGGGGTCGTTGGTCTTCATCAAGCTGGAGACCTCCTGTGCGCGGGCATCACCGGCTTCGAAGTGGGTCACTCCGTTCTGGCGGGGAAGACCTGCTTGTGAAACCTGCTTGCGCTGGAATGGCAACAACACGAATCGTCCGAGGAAAAGCAATGCACCGGTGCTCAGACTGATCACCAAGCTGGTGTCGGCGCACACGGTCCTAGCGTTGGCGCGGGCCAACTTGGTCTGCGACTCCCATGAGCGGTTGCTGATGCTCACGCAGCTGACCATGTTCCTTCCGGAGAAGGAAACCTGAGAGCTCGATGCTCTGATGCTCTTGCTCCTGGCAGCAAGGGCCGGAACGCCGGCGGCGACCGCGATCTGGGCAGTGCAGGAAGCCATTTCTTAGAGATTAGATCGAAGACAACGAAGGCGATTTGGAGCTCTCCTTCAACGAGAGACGCGACTGCAAAGGGTGGAATCGAAGTCTGCCCCGAATGATGAATTGCGGGTATGAAAGTGTGGCTTGCGGATTGAGGATGGCAGCTCGCGAGGTCCGTGCCCAGCACAAGGCCCCGGGCAGCAGCCAATGGAAGTGGATGACAATCAGAAACAACGCGATGATTGGGATTGGGTGGGATAGGCTATCCTATCCAGTCGACTGGTCTGCCAGGCCCATGGCACTCCTTTTCTATCCAACTCGGCTCCGAGTTTGCATACTTGGCACCTTTGACCCCTTGTCGTTTTTCCAACTCGTCCAGGTTGGCTCGTACTTTTCTGACACTAATCTGCTTACGACGACACGGCGAGGTTGAGGCAAGCACACTCCCTCGTTTTTGCTCCCTTGTGTGAGGGTTGAACTTTCTCTCGGGACATTTTACTGCTGCATAATACTCTTCGGACGAGATCGAATTTTGATCTTATATCGGTCTAGATTAAATTTGTCCAGCACAGGATTTGTTCAGATTTATGAAAGGGCTATTTCGATGTGGATTTGAATGACTAACCTTGGGTTTTGCAGTTTGGCGCCCCTTCCTATGGTTATACAGTTAAGCAAGAGATAAATTAATACCGCATTGTCACCATCTCAAGTTTAGTTGTGCTCTATACTTCATATTCTTTAATTAAATGACGTAAACAAAACTGAATCACAAATTCCAATCATGAAAGATTTTCAAATGCTTATCTTCTAAAGGGATTTGCTTGCACAGCGGCTTGTTTGTGAATAATGTGATGTGCTGCGTAGTTTTTGCGACCCCAAAGGTAACATAAAAGCTATAAATACGTATCAACTAACCAAAGTAAAAGTATTTAGCTTTGTAAAGTGTTCTCGGAAACAGTAATGATTGTGATTATTATCTTGCTGATTAGTTTTTATATCATACTTTTCTATCCATATTTTTATTATCAATTCTGGTGTGTTTAACTTGATTATTCAAATTTTAATTTTGGAAATATGAAAGTAAATACGAAAAATTAGCAGACATCAATAATCAAATTTAATTCCAATTAATATCATATTTGAAATTTAACATTATTATAATTTGATATTTGAAGCTTCTTTGATTTAAGAGTTACATATTGAAAACAATTCTATTATAAGATTTTTTATGATTCAATCATTTTTATAAATAACAGATTTTTAACTTATAATTTTTTAAGTAATGAAATTAAATACGTTGTATTAACGTTGGTATTGAACTTTTAATGAAACAAAATAAAGTTAGATGATGATTTTCTTTTGAAGCTTAAAAATTTTTCATTTATTATAATAAATATTATATAAAAAAACAAAGAATAAAAGATTAAATTTAATAAATCATAAAACAAATACTTATATTTTGTTTAAACGAATCAGAAAATGCATATTGTTGGGAGTTAAGTAAGGTATTGTTAACTCATAATAATGTTACTTTAATTAACAAGACTAAGATTAGCCTATCACTATATGAGCACGCTAATCTTAGCTCCTAGCTACACAAGCTCAAAGATCTTTGAAAAATTATCTACATTTTTGTTGTTGTATTTTTGTAGAAACTATCTACAGATTTAGGTTACATGTTACATGTTTTCGCATGCTTGAGATTTAGGTTTTTCTCAATACATTTGATATTCCACACTTTTTTCTTAGCTTACGTTATATAAATTTTGGCACAATAAAATTTTTTTATTAAAATAATATAATTATAGGATGGATTTAATTGATAATTTGTCATTTCAATAAAAATTTCATTAAATATATTTTTACAGATCTTATAAAAAATATGATTCAAAACACATAAGAGCTTATGACAACTTTAAGATAATTTAGTAGTTAAAAAAACCGTAATTTAAGAAAAAATTCGAATATTGTTTATGATAATTATATCTTCATATCATATATGGAATTATTTCTTGAAACATTTTTGTGATAGATAAAGTTAGAAATGTAATACAGAAGTTCAAATTATAAGTATAATGATATCTTCTACTCCCTGTATGATCAAACTTTGAATTGTAACAATGTAATTAACCCTGGCAATGAAAAAAAAATGTGTAACTCAGAGTCAAATTTTGTTCAATTTTTCCCTTTAAATTGTTTTATTAATAAGATTATCATAATTTGTTTGTATATATATATATATATATATATATAATCCATCAATAATAATGTAATTTTTTTTCATTACTTGAATATATATATATTTACATTTTATTATTTGAACTTTACCATTTTATACATTGCTATATCTTTCATTGTGTATTGTTATTGTCTTCAAGTATAACTATGTTTTTTTGTTTAAATTAACGCATATTTTTATATTTTGTGTTAATGGATTACATAGATGTACCGTATTAAATTTTCCATTACCTATATGACGTTGAACTTCACCCCTGAAATGAAATTCCGACTGGGTTTAATGATAGTGCAAGAAGCTTCGGCTCTTGAAGCTTCGAGGGGAGCTTCAGCTGAAACTTTCCAAGCCTCGTTTTTTATAGAACCTACAATATAGTCAGCTGCAGGTGTCATTCAATTATCCCAGTTGATTGTCACTTTGGGACAAGTTTAAGCTTGAGGCATCACAATACACCTTCAGTACTCTCTCGCATCTTTCAGTTGAATATGTCACAAGATGTCATATAATTTTCGTCTTTTAAATATATTTAATTTTTCTCTTTTTACCTATGTTGCTTTTTACACTTCACTGGCAATAAAGTATTTTCTTGTGTGTTTAGGATCTTTAATTAAATATCATTTGAATGGATACCCTTAATTAAATATGTCCATTTAAGCTTATCTGATACATCCAATTTGACTGAGATGAAAGCAATCAGCAAATCACCGTTTCTTCCTTGTCACGGGCGGCAGTCCGCAGTCCGTAGCGCATCGATCGGGGTTCTGACATATGGGCAGGACTGGACTTTAACTCTGGACTGGAGAGAGCAAAGGGGGCACAGCAAAGATGAGGTATGGAAATCCTTTCCTGAACCCATACAAACAGCGAGGAAATTGATTACAGTTGTATCTTGTCTTGCGTGCAACGCTGAGGTATGTGCAGTCACGACGTCAATGAGAACCAACGCGACGTCCATTTGCACAAAACACACGCAGACGGTGGGGCGGCTGAACGAGTGAAAAACATCGGCCTCGTCGGTAAAAAAGCATTCTTCTGTTCCACATGCTTGGCAACAGTACCTGCAAGTACCGATCAATCAATTTGCGCAAGTGGAAGATGTTACGCCGGCCAAGAAAAAGGCGCGACAGACTTCACTCACCATCACTGTCGACATGCTTTGCACTGAGAACAAAAATGATCTCCACAAGCCACTTTCCGGTGCGATTCACCGCAATCGCATGCAGTTCAACATATTCGATCAGCTGGATTGGCAAGTGATCTTTCATCCCTTTGCCCCGACTATAGGCTACTATCAACGGCCGTTATCGGTGATTGTCTGCTACAGTCGTAATGTCCATCAGGACTAGATCAAAGTTTGATTTGTTTATCGGGCCAGAAGTCCGGCACTCTTATAATGGATGGCGCTACTAATCGAAATGGGCGCAGTGATATGAATGTCATGATCTGCGTCCCAATTTTGTTCTTTATTTAGCAACTTCACATGAATCTCTGAAGAGAGAGGGCGTCAAATGTCATTGAGCGTTTTGTTGACGTGCGCCGTCGTACACGCTCTTAGATTCGAGGCGAAGCAGCAAAGCTTGCTGAAGAAGACGATGATGATGATAGACCGATGTTGGCCCCATCCCCTGTAGTGAAGATCAAAGCATTGTCATTTTTGTCATTCTTATCCGATAGCTGCCATCAAATGAGACCAGTGCGAGCGTTGCTTGAACGCGAATCCAATGTTATTGCGTTCGGTTTCATCTGTGGCTATGCGCCACACGGTCTGCATAATTTTTGCCATGACATTTCGAAGCTATCTTAATACAACAAATGCTCAAGCGTCTCTGTTCATTGTAAAATCAATTTGTCATGTCTGCATGCTTCAAAAGATCTTTGAAGGCCTTTCGGGAAAGTTTTATTCTCCGTTTTGTTCTTCAAGACTAGATGCAATGACGTTCGTCTTATATGTGACAGGTTGGATCGTCTACGACTGATTCCTTATGCAATCTCGACTTTCACATCGATGAACACCTCGTCGCCCTGATTAATGATGCAAACGTATGGATAGCAAATAAGCCCATGCTCTTGATCTTCAATCCAATTTCCAACACTTTGGCGTTACTTGAAAGTGACAATATATCTTTGTCATGTATGGTGGCCGACTTTCTCTTCGTTAAGCAGCATATTTAAAATCTGCCTAAATTAAATTAGATTAATTATGATTTTGCAAGAAATGATATACAAATAGATTCAACCATACTTCAAGGTCATGAAATTCATATCAAGAATGACAATGTGTTTATTTTACAAAAATATCTTGTGCTTATAAAAAATAGTTATAGATTTATGTTAGAATAAGTTAGATACTAATCATACTCTTGGAGTGCTAATATTACAAAAGACTTGACAACTTCATTAGTGTGAAATGAATGTACTCAACTTAATCAACAATACTACGAGAGTATATGTTTTCTTTGATACTCCACTTAAGATAGCAAATGCATTAGCTTGGTAACCTCAACATTTGAAAATTTATACTCTACTCTTTAGAGTTATGAATTTCTCGAGGGAAGAGAATGACATGGATTCAACACAGAAGCTGGACGGTATCGACAACTACACTGCTTGGGCCGTGCAAATTTGAACCATTTTACGCAAGAAGAAATGTTTTGCGGGAGTGAAACCAAACATTGCTTTACCTAAGTTACTACATACACTTGAGATTTCCTAAAGATTGAGTGATCAAGCACATAAAAATGCAATTCCGGCTAAAGAAAAACGATAGTCTACTAATAAAGAGGTTGAAGAGAAATTTGACATCATTTTTGAACAACACAATGATGTTGTTTACTATATTCAGATGTATGTGCGCGAGCACATTGTCCAT